GTGCGAATGGGAACTGGGATGGTATGTAAAATGAAAAAAGATTATTTTCTTTTTAATTAAATAACAGTAAGGAAAAAATAATAATTAAATTTAAAAATTTAGGGCTTTCTGACAATTTCATGAAGCAGGTCAGAAGCACCACAAGTCCCTCCATGGAGGAAAGAGCAGCTTCATATATGAAGACTGATGAAGGCACCCACAGAGGACAGGAGCAAAAAGCTCTCTCTATTTGCATTCCCCTGCTTGACTCTTACTGGTTTTATTTTGTCACATGCTCTATAATGTTCCATTTTCCATCAACTGTTGTAGAAAATCTCAGGTCTAAGCACTGTTGAAGGCTTCCCTTCTTCAGGAAGGCTCTGTACTTGTGAAAGCCTGTGCTAGGTAAGTCTTCATGGTTTTTTCTTCTTAATCTTGTTATGCTGTGGAGTCCCCAACAGGAACCTAAGATGTGCAGAAGGAAAAAGTAGGTTTTTTTTCTCTGCATTTACTGTGTTTCTTTTAAACTTCGTATTTGTCAGCCAAATCATTATGTTTTCCTATTAAAAAAAAAGTTCTCTCCTCTTCAAAAACCTTTTCTATTAGAGGCACCATAAAGCTGCTTATCTCCCTTCTAAAGGTATCTTGGAGGTGTGTTAATTGGATGCAATTGGCCCTAAAAGCTTATATGGATCTTATATTATTAAGGGTGTGCCCTTGCTGGAGTAAGTGTGTCTTTGTTGGGGGATGTATGTCATGGTGCGGGAGGGCTTTGAGGTGTCTTATACTCAAGCCATGCCGGTGTTTAAGAGCAAAGAGACAACAACCATGAGGGGGAAAGGTTTTTTTGGGTTCACTGTGTAGTAGATTTCAGTGGATTATGACAGCAGTGGGTGTGGCGCATGCAGCAGAGTAGCTTATCTTCTGCTGCTCATTTCCTCTCTCCTTTTCCACCCTTTATTCCAGCCAGGTCCTCAGATTAGGAATGGTGCCCTGCACATTCAGGGAAGGTAATGAGGTTTGAATTTGAAATACATGTTTTGAAAGGTGCTATCTTGGCCGGTAGCAGTATTTGGGGGAGGTTCTGGAAATTGTAACAACTCCTGTAAGCCCCGGAATGCTTGGCTATCTCAAGAAGAGTTCTCAGAAATATCATGGACTGGAAGCTGAGGAATGATAGGTTTTCCTGAAAAACTATGGATGAGAGAAGCAATGTTTACGGCCGAGTCACTGAGCATGATGGAGCTGTGTTTACAGAGGAGGTAAACAATAAAGTTTGCTCCACCAGGGACTTCAGGATGGGTGTGCAGCTTTAGAGTCTTTGCAGAGCTCCATGGTAGACTGCGCTCTTGTGGAACCAACTAACATTTTAAGGAAAGCATGAAGTAATATGCAAAAATTTCCTTTTTTGACATGAAGAGTTTCTGTTATTTTTGAGATTATAATTGCATTTTTTTCTTCCCTTTCATTCTTGCAAACCCTTCCTACACTCTCCCTTGCTCTGTTTCTCATTTATGACCTGTCTTCATTCATTGCTGTTACATGCATATACGTAAATGCATACAGCTGTACAGTCCAAAATGTAAACCAATCATTCTTTATACCTAGCATGTATGCTTTCCAGAATCACTGTTTGATATGGGATTTACAACAGGTGTGCTCTTCCCTAAGTAGGAGAATTTCGTTAAGTCTCACAAAATTCTACAGAAAGAGAAAGGGAGTTCATAAGACTTAGCATTTAAACCATGGCTGGGAAGGCAGGAGCTAAAAGATTAGTAAGGACCTTCTGCTCTCAAACTTACTTATGTGGTAAGTAAGGAGAACTGAAGAAATAAGAACCTCTGTCTCTGTCAGTTGCAAACAAACCATGCAGACAAGTTCATGGTTCTAGTTTTCCTGAGTCCCCCATTATGATAGGAGCCTTTGTGATACTACAGATATGAGTCATTCATACTCCTGCAAGCAATTCTGTACCTATATTCCTGTATTAATCTCAATAAACTCATTAATTTGAGGGAATAGGAATGACACAGTCTTCTCTTGGAGACAGATAAAGAAAGGGGGTAAATGGGGAACTGATAAGTAATACAAATGGTCATCTTTGAGCTTTCTTTTTATTTTCTGTCCTGAGACAAAAGCTTAGGAGGCTTTTCTTCCACCAGCAGGCTGTCTCCTCCAGCTGTGTGGTTCACAACAGATAGGTTAATGATCAGTTCTGATCATGGTCACCTGAAGCTGCAGGTGATAACAGCTCTTGTGAGTGAGCAGTGGCTGGGTCATGCCCAAAGACAGCATGTCACAGCAGTGTTACTCTCCCTCAGCCAGGACATTCAGGACCCACTTCAACGACATCCCCTGTGTCTAGGGGGAATGGATCGTCTACAGGTCACATTTAGGAATGATCATTCAGGGGCATTCCAACATTTTGAAATTATGAGGCTGCGCATTTGCTGCTGTGCACTCCATAAAGAACCTCTGACCAAGGCTGACAGCTGAAGACATCTATCCATAGAATCAGAAATATTTACAAAGAAGTTACTCTTTTCACACAAAGTAACAACAGTAGCTTCATCTTAAAGGAAAATATGCCTCATTCTTCCATGGTCTTTTGACGATGGACACTGAACCAGGTACTGATTCCTACCTAGAGTGCAGGCCTCACCAGATCAGCAGGAAGTGAAATACACAATAACTCTCACGTCACTGTTGCAGCAGTGACTTTCTCATATTCTGTATGCCCCATGTAAATGATATTTTCTTATGCTGAAATAAAACATTTTAATTTCATAAGCTCCTATTAGTTGATTTTTGGTCTCATGTACTATTGGACAAGAGTCCTATTCAGAAACCCCTTAAATGTGCTTAAAAGTTGGAGGATTATCTTTACTGTGTCCTTTGGAATTTGTAGGGTATCAGGTCTCATTTTGATATCCATGACACTTTTGGTGCAGTTTGTGTATGGTAGATGATAAAGAGCAGAGTTTTATTGTCTGCGTGCTGACAACAATTTTTCATAATCAGCATATCTAAGACAGTATCTCAAGTGCCAACATACATATGAAATACAAATATGTGTGTAAAGTTACCCAAGTTACTCACAAGTACTTTCTGCTTACCAAGTGGACCACGTTGAGGTACCCAGGCATGTAGTAATATGAGTTCAAGCTCTGACCACTCAAGGTAAGTCAAGGAAACCACTTGCATTACAATACATTTTCAATAGAACTTATAACCTGGCTCAAGTACTCTAGATTTTGTAGTCATTTTCTTGGGTCCCAGACTCATTTCTCACAAAGGGAAATAAAATTTGGAGTGTTCTATAATTCCAGCTTTGGGTGCCTTTTTAGTGATTACATTTTTTTTGTCAACTCTGAATTTTTCTAAATACTACAAAGGAAGTGGGAAAAAAGAACACATGTGCTATGGTCACTGTAAAATAAGACATCCCAGGTACTGTGGATCCTATAATGATAGATATGACTGAAAATTTACCATAGACATACCAGCTGAATCACTCCTGGATATGCATACTTATCAAAGTGAGTTCACGATGCTGAATCACATATGCGTGAGTTTGTGTGTAATTGTTATCACTGCACTTCATATAACAGATGATTCAGGGAATGAGCTTAGATAACCACCAATATATCTAAATATATGGATAAAGAAAATGTAATAAAATAAATAATGCAAGATAATCAATCAATGAATAAAATTATAGAAAAATTATTTGTCTCAAGAAAATTGTTGCAACTATGTATCATTAAGTCAAAGAAATAGACAACTCTCCAAAATACAAATAACACCCATCTTATCTCATAAATGGAATCTAGAAAAAATATAAAAAGTTGATGAAAATTTTTGCAGAATTGAGAGGGCAAATATTTTAGATGGAAGGAGTATAACAGGTAAACAATGGGGTGTATACAAACACATTACTTATTTTATATAATTAAAATGTACCAAATAATAAGATTAATTTTGTACATATGATATCCTACATCCAACTCTATTATATACCACAATATCTGTTCTCTTTCAAGTTTATGTCCTTTATTCATGCATTGCTATATTGATACATAAATTTGTATATACATATGTTCCTAAATACAAGGAGACCAATCCATAAAAGGTTATAATCCTATATGTTTTCAGGCATATTGTCCATTGCTTACTGGACAATCAGTTTATGTGTTTCTCTCTGGAGAGTCCACCTCTCCCACTCCCTGCTTTCCTAAATGACTACAGATCTTTGATGTTGCCTTGTAGCTTTTCCTTGTGCAGTTTTTCATGCACATTGATATCTTCCATCTACCTCACACTGATTTGTACCACAATTATAAAAGTTTAAAGTAATCTATGTAGTGTGTCATTCTCTATCCTACCAGCTCATCCATGGAAGTGTTCACACTTATGATACTCTACTATTAGAGAATAGAATATCAGAAAAATAGGCAGTAAAATTGGGCAAAATGTTTAAATGTTTTGTTGCAAAGACACAAATTAAAAGACTTGAATTTTAAAACAAGCTTATATTTATTCAAGACTCACCAAAATCACAGAAAATAATGTAATAGAGAATATAATCTCATTATATAAGTAACCATATGCCAAGAAATTAAATGTGCATCACAATCTGAACTACTTTGACATAGGTTGTTTTTGTCACACATTATCTTAACATACAGTCAAGAACCGTTATTGGTCAATTTACTCCTCCTAGAAATACTTACCTATTCATAGTAATTAATTTTTGATTCGTATGTTTACAACAATGATGCATAAATTGTGTTTACACTAAATATTTGATGATAATAAAGTTCAAATCTGGATACAATATTTCTAAATTCATAAGAACTGTGTAGCTGTCTAAGTATTGGCTAAGATTTGAAAATGAATTGAAGGATGTGAGTCTGTGAAATAAGTTGGGTAATGCATGAAGATCTGGACAATGAATTAATGTGAGGTCCACTAACAAGTTTCATGAAATGTACCCATTACATGCATCTTGTGATGCTTTCTAAGACTTGAATTTGTTTTAAAGTCCTTGCCACATTCTTTACATTTGTAAGGTTTTTCACCAGTATGGAATTTGTGATGATTGTGAAGAGATGAGAGCTGGGTAAAGGACTTGCCACATTCTTGACATCTGTATGGTTTCTCACCAGTATGAATTCGTTGATGGTTATGAAGAACTGAGGCCCTAGCAAAAGACTTGCCACATTCTTGACATTTATATGGTTTCTCACCAGTATGAATTCTTTGATGGTTATGAAGAACTGAGGCCCTGGCAAAAGACTTTCCACATTCTTGACAACTGTAAGGTTTCTCACCAGTATGAGTTCTGTGGTGAATATGAAGATTTGAGAGCTGGATAAAGGACTTGCCACATTCTTGACATCTATAAGGTTTCTCACCAGTATGAGTTCTGTGATGTTTCTGAAGATCTGAGGCACTGGTAAAGGACTTGCCACATTCGTTACATCTATAAGGTTTCTCACCAGTATGAATTCTGTTATGAATATGAAGATTTGAGACCCAAGTAAAGGACTTGTCACATTCTTGACATCTATAAGGTTTCTCACCAGTATGGGTTCTGTGATGTTTCTGAAGATCTGAGGTCCTGGTAAAGGACTTGCCACATTCTTGACATCTGTAAGTTTTCTCACCAGTATGAATTCTGTTATGAATATGAAGATTTGAGACCCGGGTAAAGGACTTGCCACATATTTGACACCTGTAAGGTTTCTCACCAGTATGGATTCTCTGGTGAGTTTGAAAGTTTGTGTGACGGATAAATGACTTGCCACAATCTTTACATTTGTATGCCTTCACTTTGGAATTAATTCTCTTATGCATAGTGGGGCATGCATATCTGTTGAAGCAGTTTCCACATTCTATATAATTGTTTTGTCTCTCTTCATTTTGATTGTTGATATAATGCCTCCCTTGTTTCTGGTCATGCTGAAACAAATAGAAGTTGTGTTACAAACAAAATCATCCTTACACTTATCATGTATGTATTGGCTCTTAGAAAAATATAGACTTCTTCTATGAACTTATATAATGAGAAAAGACATATGGTGATTTCATTTTTGGGAATTTGTCATTTAAGAAGAGGATTCTAGAAACTATTCTTATAAGAGTTCCTAGGAAAGGCTTTAATAACATAAGTAAATGTATAACGTTTCTCATGACTGAAAATTCTTTGATATATTTTGAGTCTCACTTGATTGAGAAAAACTTCTAATGTTTATCTCAGGAATATCATGTAACAAAATGTACTTTTGTTGAGAAAATTCTAGTGAATGTTTAATAGAATACACGTCATTCAATTTTCAGAAATTTCAATATTCTTTGTAGAAAAAAAAGTGTTTTAAAATTTATTTGTATTTTTTTACTGAAGAAACTGCTTCTGAAATTGTAAGCGATCTAATGTGAAATCTTTCCAGATAAGGTAGAAATTATTGACCTTTGTTTCTAGTACAACCCAGGATGGCTGATGAATAGAGATTATTTCATTCACGACATAATCCATTCTCTTTTCTTTCTTCACCAAATATTGAAATCATCCCTAAATGGAAGATTTTAAAGTCACTACTTACAGCTATTCCTGACACGACCTTGTGGATACAATCTTGTCTATTCTTTTGTGTTTGATGAGAATATAAAACTGGAAGAAAGAATAATATATAATTATCTGAATTAGTATACTTAGGTGAATGTTTTTCAGATATATAAATGGCACAATTATATATATATATATATACACGTGTATACAAGATGGCGTATTATATAAAATAAACTTCAATTCATTTATTCTAATGAAATAAACATCTTAATGTAAATTAATAGAATATTTTTATAACATATATTAAATACATTATAAAAATGAAAGGATTGAGTTTATGTTATCTTAGAGGTTCCAATCACAATTTTAGAATAATAAATGAGATTATGGCAGTTTGAGTGAAATGACCCCATATAATCAGATATCTGAATACATAGTCTAATGTTGGTGAATATTTATGGGTAAGATAAAGAGGTATCAACTTACTGGAACACCTATGTCCTTGGACACTGGTTTTGAGAATTTTAAAGCCTTCTTATAACAACAGTGAGCTATCTATTTTCTGTTGTGATTCTAGATGGGACCTCTCACTGCTGCTCTAGCCCCTTGCCAACTGCTACCTCTGATTCATTGTCATGAATCTTTCTTCTCTATATTGCCTTTATCTTGGAGTTTTATCACAGCAATAGATAATAAGTAACTAATACAACGACTATAACCCAAATGCAATAAAAGTACTCTCATAAAATTGCATTATCTTAATGAATTCAACGCATCTCCACAATCCCTTGAAATGAAAAAAAAATGAGTAATATTAAGATATTAGAGCAGGGTAGTATATATCTAAATTAAGGGAGCCATTTTAGGGTAGGCAAGTGACTTGACTCTAGAGGCGTTCCCGGGTATCCATGGAGATATCCTTAGCTAGTTTCTTGGGCACCTGAGGAGAGGGAGCCTGAAATGTCCCAATCCTATAGCCATACTGATAAATATTTTGCTTATCACCATAGACCCTTCATCCGGAGATTGATGGAGATAGAGACAGAGACCCACATTGGAGCACCAGACTGAGTTTCCAAGGTCCAAATAGGAACACTAGGAGGGAGAACATGAGCAAGGAATTCAGGACCTCGAGGGGTGCACCAACCCACTGAGACGGTGGGGCTGATCTAATGGGAGCTCACCATGACCAGCTGATCTGGGACTGATGGAGCATGTGATCAAACCGAACATTCTGAACATGGTAGACAATGAGGGCTGACTGAGAAGCCAAGGACAATGGCACTGGGTTTTGATCCTACTGCATGTATTGACTTTATGGGAGCCTAGTCTGTTTGGATGCGCACCTTCCAAGACCTGGATGGAGGGGGGAGGACCTTGGACTTCCCACAGGGCAGGGAACGTGACTGCTCTTTGGACTGGAGAGGAAGGGGAAAGGATAATGGGCGGAGGGGAAGGGAAATGGGATGTGGGGAGGAAGTGGAAATTTTTAATAAAAAATTAAATTTGACAACTCATACACAAAAAAGAAATTAGACAAAATATTAATTAATAAGGAAAGAACAAATGATGAACTGGAAACTGTTACTACTAACTGGTCTACAGACAATCATGTATACCCCAAGGAAGAGATCCATAAAATATCAGACATCAAGGAAATTCACTAGGACTGATTTTTTTTTTTGTCAGAGATACATTTTTTCTTTTTCTTATACAGAAAATCGATGCTTACATAAAATATATTCTGACTATAACTTTTCATCCTTCAAATGCCCTGAGATCATCCCCATCTTTACGTATGTCTGAATTTACCCAATTTCAGTTACTTCTTTGAAAACAAATAGGCACCTAAAGAATAATAATAAAATAATATAATCAGAATAAAAGAAATCAGATAGGATCAGAGAATAGATAATAAAGAAAAAGCACAGTAAGTATTTGTAGAGAGAAAGACACACATTTGTACCCCCAAAATTGCATAAAACAAAGCAAAACAAAACTTTTGAAGGTGTAATGTACATAAAGATACTGTAAGGTCATAAATAAAAATAAATACATGAGCTCCCAAGGTCCAAATGAGGAGCAGAAGGAGGGAGAACATGAGCAAGGAAGTCAGGACCACGAGGGGTGCACCCATCCACTGAGACAGTGGGGCTGATCTATTGGGAGCTCACCAAAGCCAGCTGGACTGGGAATGAAAAGGCATGGGATGGAACCGGACTCTCTGAACACAGGGTACAATGAGGGCTAATGAGAAGCCAAAGACAATGGCACTAGGTTATGATCCTACTGCATGAACTGGCTTTGTGGGAGCCTAGCCTGTTTGGATGTTAACCTTCCTAGACCTGGATGGTGGGGGGAGGACCTTGGACTTCACACAGGTCAGGGAACCCTGACTGCTCTTTGGACTGGAGAGGGAGGGGGAAGGAATAGGGGGAGGGTGAGAGAAGTGTGGGAAAGAGGGAGGAGTGGGAAGAGGGGGAGGGAAATGGGAGGCGGGGAGGAGGCAGAAAGTTTGTTATTTTTTTATTTTTTATTTTTATTTTTTCCTCCCACACCTCCTCCCCTCCCTCTCCAGTCCAAAGAGCAGTCAGGGTTCCCTGCCCTGTGGTAAGTCCTAGGTCCTCCCCCCTCTGTCCATATCTAGGAAGGTGAACATCCAAACTGGCTAGGCTCCCACAAAGACAGCACATTGCGTAGGATCAAAACCCCGTGCCATTGTCCTTAGATTCTCATCAGCCCTCATTGTTCGCCATGTTCAGAGAGTCCAGTTTTAACCCAAGCTTTTTCAGTCACAGTCCAGCTGGCCTTGGTGAGCTTCCAGTAGATCAGCTCCACTGTCTCAATGGCTGGGTACACCCCTCATGGTCCAGACTCCTTTGCTCATGTTCTCCCTCCTTCTGCTCCTCATTGGGACCTTGGGAGCTCAGTCCAGTGCTCCAGTGTGGGTCTCTGTCTCTATCTCCATCCATCACCAGATGAAGGTCTATGATGATATGCAAGATATTCGTCAGTATTTCTATAGGCTATGGTCATTTCCGGTTCCCTATCCTCAGCTGCCCAAGGAACTAACTGGGGACCTCGGCTTGGGCTCCTGGGAGCCACTCTAGGCTCAAGTCTCTTGCCAACCCTAAGGTGGATCCCTTAACAAAGAATTGTGTTTCCGTGCTCCCCTATCCTACCTTCCTTTATCCCAATCTTCCTTTTTCCCCAAGTTCCCCCAATCCTCCCCTTACCCCCATCCCACCCCACCCCACCCCCCAAGATTCCAATTTTCTCCCCGGCAATTTTGTCTACTTCCCATAGCCAAGAGGATAACTATATGTTTTTCCTTTGGTTCAACTTCTTACTTAGCTTCTTTAGGATCACGAATTGTAGACTCCGTGACCCTTATTTATGGCTAGAAACCAATTATGAGTGCGTACATCCCATATTCATCTTTTTGGGTCTGGGTTACCTCACTCAGAATAGTGTTTTCTATTTCCATCCATTTGCATGCAAAATTCGAGAAGTCATAGTTTTTTACCACAGCATTTGACAAAATTCAACATCCTTTTATGATAAAAGTATTGGAGAGATTAGGGATACAAGGGTCATACCTAAATATAATAAAAGCTATATACAGCAACCGACAGCTAACATTAAATTAAACGGAGAGAAACTCAAAGCCATCCCGCTTAACTCAGGAACACGACAAGGCTGTCCGCTCTCGCCATACCTCTTCAATATAGTGCTTGAAGTTCTAGCAATAGCAATAAGACAACATAAGGGGATCAAGGGGATTCGAATTGGAAAGGAAGAAGTGAAACTTTCGTTATTTGCAGATGATATGATAGTGTACTTAAGCAACCCCCAAAACTCCACCAAAGAACTTTTACAGCTGATAAACAGCTTTGGTAATGTGGCAGGATACAAGATCAACTCCAAAAAATCAGTCGCCCTCTTATACACAAAGTATATGGAAGCAGAGAGGGAAATCAGAGAAGCTTCACCATTCACGATAGCCACAAACAGCATAAAATATCTTGGGGTAAATCTAACCAAGGAAGTGAAAGATCTTTTTGACAAGAACTTTAAAGCATTGAAGAAAGAAATTGAAGAGGATACCAAAAAATGGATGGAGCTCCCTTGCTCTTGGATTGGGAGGATCAAAATAGTAAAAATGGCAATTCTACCAAAGGCAATTTAGAGATTCAATGCAATCCCCATCAAGATCCCATCAAAATTCTTCACAGATCTGGAGAGGACACTAATCAACTTTATATGGAAAAACATAAAACCCAGGATAGCCAAAACAATCCTATACAATAAAGAAAGTCTTTCAATAAAAAAATATACATTCCAAAACTTAACATTATGGGGAGAAAAGAATGCACAAAAATTCCATTGAGTTGTGTGGTGATATCCTTCAAGTGCTGGTTATGGGGAATTCCTGTAAGTGTTACTTTTATCCCCACTGAGAATCTCTTGGAGAAATCTATTTTTTCTTTGGGGACTTATGGTCTGTTCAAAATAGCTTAGGTAAGATTAGGATTTAAATGCTCTTATTTTTCAAGTGCATTTTTCTAGATTCTTTTACAAAATGAATGTAATAGATGAGTGGACATAAGTTAGTATCTACAATTTGATTTTTTGATCAATATGTCTGTCTTTCAGACATACCATTATTTACAAAACCTAATTATTATAAAAATGTCATAGAATTTAAAACTATGAATGGTATATTGTTTATAATTTTATTTTTCATGGTTGTTTAAGCTATTGTAAGGTTTTTGCTTATTTGTATCTATATGAGACTGAAAACTGTGTTTTTGAGATCTGAGACGAATTGTGTTAGAATTTTGATAGGGTTTTCACTGAATCAGTATATTTCTATATCAATTGACCAATCCTTGAGCATGTGTATTTTTCCATCTTACAATATCTTTTTCAATTCATACCTTCAGTGTCTTAAAGTTTTTATAAGGGTCTTTCACTGTTTTAGTTCAAATTACCCAAAACTATTTTTTGAGGTTATTGTGAAAGGCATCATTTCCATGAATTCTATTTAAGTCTTTTCTCATTTGTATATAGGAAGGCTACTCATTTTTGTTAGTTAATTTGGCACTCCTTATACTTCGTGAAGGTGTTACTATGTTTTACAAGTTTCTTCATAAAGTTCTTACAGTCCTTTATATATAAAAACATAGCATCTGCATATAACATTATTTGGATTTGTTCCTTTGCTATGAATCATGAATCACTTCTAGATCTTCTTCATTTGTGTTCTTGTTCAAGCTAAGATTTCAAGTTCTTTATTGAATACATATAGAGAGATTGAATACTCTTGCATTGTTCACTTTTTGAGTGAAGAGGCTTTGAATTCTCTCCATTTAGTTTGATGTGGGCTATACACTTTCTGCGAATTGCATTTTTTAAGTAGAGGTATATTTCTTGTATCCCTAATATCTCCAAGACTTCCATCAAGAAGGGCTGTTAATATTGTCAAAGGCTTTTCTGCACCTAATAAGATGAACTTCTGGAATTTGACTTTAAGGTTGTACAAGTGGTAGATTACATTTATTGATTTTGAATTTTTCATCTCACCCTACATGTCTTGACATAAAGCCTATGTTAGATTATCTTTTTGATATGTTCTTGGATATAGGTAGAAAATATTTCTTTGGGGACTTTTGCAGATAAGTTCATAATGAAATAGGCATGTATTTTACTTACATTTTGGGTGTATATGTGGTTTAGTTATCAAGGTAGCTGTCCTCATGAAAAGAATTTCACAGTGTTCTGCTGCTTTTATTTTGTAGAATAATTTAAGGAGTATTCATGCTAATTCAAGAAGCATTATTAAAAAATAGAAGGTACCACCTACTACATTATTCTGCTTGCTATTAAAATGCTTTTTAATGTCCAATTGATTTACCCACAGACTGTTGCATCTCTAAGCCTTCATTCCCAAAGTCTGGCAGAATTTTACAACTAAAGGTGACTCATAGGTAGACATGGTCCAAACAACAAGAAAATATTTAATTTTAATGAGTATATTTATAACAGACTTATTCCATGGACTGTTCAGAGCTCATTCAGCACAGAGTGATAATACATAACAAGGCAGGAAGTCATGAATGAGTATAAGAAAATAGTGCTTTCTGTACACAACATGAGAGTTGCCCATGTAAACTCAAGTGATTAGGATAGAATGTATGAGACATGAGCAATCCCAAGCCTGATTTAAATTCTTGGGAGACAGTAAGAAGGGGCCTGGAGAGCAATGCCTTGCTGAGAAGCTACTATTATCTTAAAGATTCTGGGAGAAAGGGAATAATGTTGATTTTAAGAATGTGCAACTTCTGATTGTTCAACCATATTGTAGGCCATGCTCAACACCCACAATTTGATGGAGGTTTCAGATTGAACTCTGTGAATGGAAAAAAAGAAGAGGAAAAAACCAAACATGTCTGGAGGAAGTGGAAAACGGGAAGACTGGAGAGTTGAATTTGGTCAAATGACATTGCAAGGTATTCTTAAATCACTAATAAAAGTATTAAAAGTAAAATACTGTGGATATATAAATTTGTTTCCCCAAACAAATTACAATACAGATATAAAACACAAATGAAAACAAGTGCATATACAACATTTATGTGGATATTAACATATAAATTTTGATATTCAGAGATTAGTAGATGATTAAATTAGACTAATAACATGTGTGACACTAAACAAGTCTTAATTTCTAAAGAATAGTTTGCAGAACTAGAAAAAGTTCCCTTTTTAGTTCTGCAGTATCTAACATAAATAATGAACTCTACAATCTTCCAAAATGAATACAACTATAAGATTTATATTTCCTGATTTTATGTGAGACTACACAACAGTGAAAACCATATGATTCTGTCATGAGAGCAGACAAACAGACATCAACAGGTACAGAGCAATACTCCTTCAAACACTGTGAAACTTTTTAATGCTAATTTTCATTTCAATATTGCTCATTTCAAGCCCTGGTAGTGTTCAAAGATATTGCAACAAATCATTTTACTTCTGCTTTATAGATAAATTAATTATTCAAAGGAAATCTCAGGTCATTTTACTTATAAAGTAATTTGGAATAATCATTCAATGTGAATTTTTACATGATTTTAGGTAGAAATATTTGTGCATCTGTTACAGGGATATGGATCCTTTTGTTCCCTAGATTGCACCCGAAATAACCACATAGAAACGCTGCTTGGCCATTAGCTCTAGCCTCCTATTGGCTAACTCTCACATTTTGATTTAACCCATTATTATAAATGTGTGTTTACCACTAGGCCATGGCTTACTGGGAAAGATTTAGCATATCTGACCTGGTGTCTCCATGGTGGCTCTCTAACGCTGACTCTGATTTTCTCCTCCCAGAATTTACCTTTGCCTACCTACGTTCTGCCCTATCAGGCCAAGCAGTTTTTTTTTATTGATTAACCAATGGAAACATCATGGTTCTCCTATACCATGCATCCCACTTCAGGGCAGAATTTCTCCATGCCCTAGGTTTCCCACTTGGGCCAATGCTTCATTATGATTACCTTGTTCATTGCCTTCTGCCTCTCGTATGTTCACATTCCAGGGCTCTTTGCTTTGCTCAAGAAAGCTGATCAGGTCTGGTTTTGACACTGAAAGACCTGCATATTGGAAGAGACATATCACCATAACTTGGGATAACAATAAAACACATAGATTTCTCATAAACCACCATGCTGATTATATAAGATGGCCTATAATTTAAAATTCCAAATAAGATTTTCTTATTGTTATCTCCAAATGTTTTAACACAGTCAAAAGCATTTTTGTTAATATTGTATACCCTGAGTTTCCTTGTAAATTACTACTGGATCAAATGCAAACACATTATGAATCATTAAGATGCAAATCAATATATAATCTATGATTTGTCTGAAAAATAAAATGTATTATGAAAGTTTGAATGATAAATATCATCTCCAGGAGTCAGGAATATATTGACAAGATAAAGTTACACAAAACATTTTGATTTACATATTGAACTCCAAGATTTTTATTAAATGGCAAATAAAAGTAAGGCAGACAGTTCAGATATAGATGTAAAACATCCTTGTAGGATACAAATATGATAAAGAAGGAATCAGGAAAGAAAAATGTCTCACCCACAGAGACCATGTTACTGTAGTTCTCCAACATGACTTCCCTGTACAAAGCCCTTTGTGCAAAGTCAAGGCAGCCCCACTCATCTGGAGAGAAATCAATTGCCACATCCTGGAATGTTAAGACTCCCTGTCATGAAAGGAAAGAGTTTATTAAGTGCCCACGTAAAAATTTCTTTACTTAGACTAAGGATACAAGAGTTCATCCCAAAATTTGATGTGTTCTTGCTTATCATTATTCAAATACAGTCTATACTAAAATTCTGTGTGCTGGAAGTATTAAACCAAGTAGGACAAGTTAAGCTTCAGACCTATGGGCCTAAATGGGGTATGTGAATGGGAGCCAGATTATCTTCATGTGAAGTTCCAGACTTCACCTGTGCCCTTAATTATCTATCCTCATGGCAAATTTTTCTTTAGAAACCACAGGCTGAAGAAACATGAGCTGTAAAGCTGCAACCATGTGGGCATACACTGCTGTCATATAAAAATATGTCAAACATAAGATGTGTAGCAAAGGCAGAATTTCCATATCCAAGAAAGAAGCAGAAATTTCTACTGCATATGATTCCAATGACATCAGTGGGAAGACCATGGAACGGCTGACACCTGTGTATGGTGAGGTATAAAGAGACCAATTTCTAAGTCCTGAATCAGTGCTGGGAATCTGTGGGCAGATTTATAAAGGACAAGTAAAGGATGTAGATTGTGTAGCTGATGCATGGCTTGGATCAGCTGACATCCAAAACTGACTCTTCCTTACAGGTTCCCATCACTGCTTCAAGAACACAAGATCCGTATGAACTAAAATACAATAAGTTACTCAGCAAAATTTCCAAAGAATCAATAAAAACACCAACAAAAATATGACTAAACAGTTCTGTGATCAGCAATCACGTAAATTTGGTATTCTAGATTAGATATAATATTACAAACAGCACCTTGCCTTTCATCAATTTTTTTCTACGTGAATCATCATGGAGAATATAGGATAAAAAAAAACCACCAAGGACATGTCCTAATGGATGGTATAATTATATTCTTCATCATACATTTCTGTGTTGTCTTTTTCCTATTCTAATTCTTTAACATATTCATGATCACTTAACTACACCTTAAATATTTTTATGTTATTTACTGTTTTGTTTTTTAATTGTGCTTTATGATTTTTTCTGTATGTTTCTGTAGTACACTATTTTCTTCCATTGTTCTAGTCACATCCTGGGCAGATTTACTGCTGACTTGAAGACACCACAAATGCAATCCCAGACTACTAAAGCCAGCAAAGTTTTAAATCACCATTGGCAAACAAGATAATCCATGAGAAATCAGATTTAAACAATACCTATCCACAAATCCAGCACTACACAAGTACAAGAAGGAAAACTCTGACCAAACAAAGCTACCTGCACACATACAAATACATACAACATCATATAACCTCACACCAACCAAACCAAAAGAAGGGAAACACACACTTTCATCAAAAACTAACAGGAATTAACAAACAATGGTCATTGTTATCTCTTAATATCAGTGAACTCAATTCCCCTATGGAAAGTCACAGGCTAAGAAAATGATTATGACAGCATGATCCAGCCTACTGCTGTATACAAGAAACATACTTCAACTTCAAAGACATATATTAACTCAGAGTAAATGGTTTGGAAAAGATTTTCCAATCAAATGAACCTAAAGAAACAGTGCATGTAGCTCTTTTATTATCTAACAAAATAGACTTCAAACTAAAATCAATCAAAAGAGATGGAGAAAAACACCTTATACTCATAACAGGACCCATCCATCAAGGTGAAGTCTCACTCCTGAACATTAATGCCCCAAATACAAGAACACCCACATATGTAAAAGAAACATTACTAAAGGTTAAATTGTAAATCAAACACCACACACTAATAGTTAGGGACTTAAACACCCCATTTCAAAGAAAAGCTAATACCTATAATCCTCAAAGTGTTCAACATAATAGAAACAGATGGAAAATTGGCCTTTTTTTTTTGCTTTCGAGACAGGGTTTCTCTGTGGTTTTGGAGCCTGTCCTGGAACTAGCTCTTGTAGACCAGGCTGGTCTCGAACTCACAGAGATCTGCCTGCCTCTGCCTCCCAAGTGCTGGGATTAAAGGCTTGCGCCACCACCACCCGGCGCAAATTTTTTTTTGAGGCCCAGTTACATTGATACCAAAACCACACAAAGACACACTGATGGAGGAAGGTCATTGGTTAAATAAAAAGAAACTGCCTGGCCCTCATTGGTTAGAAGATAGGTGGGAGGAGTAAACAGAACAAAATGCTGGGAGGAAGAGGAAGTGAGCTCAGACTCCACAGCTCTCCTCTCGGGAGCAGACGCCTCAGAGAGACGCCATGCTCCGTTCTCCTGGGCAGACGAGATTCAGCTCTGATCCAGGATGGACCTAAAATCTTCCCGGTAAAACCGGTGCTCACAGATTATTAGAAATGGGTTGATCGGGATATCAGAATTAGGCAGTAAGGGCTAGAACTAAAGGGCCAAGGAGTGTTTAAATGAATACAGTTTGTGTGTTGTTATTTCAGGGCATAAGCTAGCTGAGCAGGCGGCCGGGGTGCTGGGAACGCAACCCTGCTGCCCGTTTTACTACAACACACCAAGAAAGAGAATTACAGACCAATCTCACCCATGAACATTGATCCAAAAACACTCAATAAATAAATGCGCACTCCTTTATTTTCAACACTCGGGAGGCAGAGGCAGATGGATCTCTCTGAGTTTGAGGCTAGCCTGGTCTAAAAGAGCTAGTTCCAGGACAGGCTACAGAACTTGAGAGAGACCCTGCCTCAAACAAACAAACAAACAAACAAACAAAACCAACCCCTCCAAAAAAACCCTGGAAATCATCCACCATGATCAAGTCAGTTTCATCGCAAGATTCATGGATTGTTCAACATACAAAAATCTATCAATGAAACCCACCACAAAATAAACTGAAAGATTATTATATGAAGATTATCTCATCAGATGCTGAAAAAGCATTTGAAACCCCTTTAAGATAAAGGTCTTGGAGAGAACTGGGATACAAGGAACATATCCAACCATAATAATGGCAGTACATGGTAAGACAATAGCCAACATCAAGGGGATTACACCAAAATTAGAGACAAGACAAGGCTCTCCACTCTTTCCATATCTATTCAACACAGTTCTTAATGTTCTAGCTAGAGTGATCAGAAAACAAAAGGATATCAAGAGGATATAAATTGGAAAGAAAGAAGTCAAACTTTTGTTATTTGCATATGACATACATAACACCCAAAACTCTACTATGGAACTTCTACAGATTAATAATAATAATTATTATAATTATAATATTGAAGGATTCAAGATCAACTAAAAATAATTAGTAGCTCTCCTATATACAAATGATAAAGAACTTGAGAAAGAAATGAGAGAAACATCACCCTTCACAAAGCAACAAATAGCATAAAATATCTTGTGGGTAACACTAACCAAACAAGGGAAAGTCCGGCTCGACACGAACTTTAAATCTTTGAAAAAAGAAATTGGATAAGACACCAGAAAATGGAGAGATCTCCCATGCTCTTGCATAGGTAGGATCAACATAATAAAAATGGCAATACTACCAAAAGCAATCTATTGATTCAATGCAATCCCCATCAAAATCTCAAAAAAAATTTCAAAGACCTTGAAAGAACAATAATCAACTTCATATGAGAAAACAAAAAACCCCGGATAGCCATAACAAACCTGTACAATAAAGAACTTCTAGAGACATCAACATCCAGCTCTATTACAGAGCTACAATAATGTAATGGTCTGGTATTGGTATTAATCAGACTGTGACCAATGGAATAGTATTGAAGATCTGTATATTAATCGACACACCTACAAATACCTAATTTTTAAGAAAGAATTTAAAAGTATACAATCAAAAAAAAAGAAAGCATCTTCAACAATCCATGCTGGCGTAACTGGATGTCAACATGTAGAAGAATGAAAATAGATTCTTATCTATCCTCAAGCACAAAACTCAAGTCCCAATGGTTTAGAGACCTCATTATAAAAAATACCACGTGGAACCTGATACAAGAGAAAGTGGGAAGCAGCTTTTAATGCAAGGGCACAGGAGACGACTTCCTAAATATAATAACCCCAGCAGCACAATACTGAGAGAAACAGTAAAAAAATGGGGCCTCCTAAAACTGAGAAGCTTCTGTAAATCAAAAATTACAGTCAATGAGATAAAAAAGAAGCCTAGAAATTGGGAAAATATCTTCACCAATCACACATCAGACAGAGGACTGTGATTTCCAAAATGTATACAGAACTCAAGCAAATAGACATCAAAATGCTAAATAATGCAATTAAAAATGGGGTACAGATCTAAACAGAGAATTTAAATAGAAGAATCCCATATGGCCAAAAGACAGTTAGAGGGATGGTCAACACCCTTAGTGATCAGGGAAATGCAAATCAAAATGACTCTGAGATTCCATCTTACACCTGTCAGTATGTGTAAGATCCAAAACACAAATTAAAGCCTATGCTGGAGAGCATGCAAAGTAAGAGGAACAGTCTTCCATTGTGGGAGGGAATGAAACTTTTACAAACACACTAGAAATCAGTATGGAAATTTCACAGAAAATTGGGATTCAACCTACATTAGAACCCAGCAATACCACTCTTCGGCATATGTCCAAATAATGCTCAATCATACTACATGGACATTTGTTCAACTATGTTCATGTCTTCATAAAAGCCTTAATCGTAATAGCCAGAACCTAGAAACAACCTAGGTGTCCCTCAACCAAAGACGGGATAAAGAAAATGTGATACATTTGCACAGTGGAGTACCACTCAGTAGTAAAAGACATTGGCATCTTGGAATTTGCATGCAAATGGATAAAACTAGAAAAAAAATCCTGATTGAGGTAACCCATACCCAGAAAGATGAGTATGATATGCATTCACACATAAGTGGATTTTAGCTGTAACAAAATCCTATAGTCCATGACCACAGAGAAGTCAAGTAACAAATAGAATCCTAAGAGAAATAGATTAGATCTCCTGAGAAAATTGGGAGCATGTAGGTGGGAGGAGAAGGGAGGTTAGAAGGGGAGGAGGAGGTGAGAAATGAATGAGGGAAGGGAACTAGAGGTAACTGGATAGTTGAGACTGGGAAAAGACAGTGACAGAGAACAAGGAAGGAGATATCTTAATTGTGGAAGCCTTTTAAGGGGCTAGCAAGAAAACTGCCACTAAAGAAATTCCCAGGAATCCACTAGGATGACCCCATCTAAGACCCTAACCAATAGTGGAGATAGTGTCAGAATTGGTCTTGCCCTCTAATCTGATTGATGACTATCACAAATGTCACCATAGAACCTTTGTCGAGTAACTGATGGAGGGAGAGGCACAGATCCGCTGTGGAGCACTGGGTTGATCTTCCAAAGTCCAGTTGAAGAGTGAGAAGAGTGAGAATAGGAGCAAAGAGGTCAAGACCATGATGGGCATACCTGCTGAAACAGCTTGCCTGAGCTGAAAGAAGCTCACCAAATTTGGCCAGGTAGGAAAGGAACCAGCAGAGGACTTAGTTAGGACTTCTGAATGTGGGTGACATTTGTATCCCTGAGACTGACTGGGGAGCCACTGGCGGGTGTCCAGGATTTATCCTTACTGCTTCTAATGACTTTTTGAACCCATTCTCTTAGGACAAATACCTTGCTCATCCTAGATGTAGTATGAAGGACTTGGTCCTTTCTCAAAGCAATATACCTTACCCTCGGTGAAGAGTTGATGAGGTGGAGAACAGTGGGTAAACTGGAAGGAATAGGAAGAGGGGAGGGAGGGGCAACTGGGATGGGTATATGAAATGAAAAAAGATAGTTTATAATAAAAATTTTAAAAAGGAGGTAGCTAGTGTGTACGACCCAAAGATGATGTAGAATACCAATACCCCCACACCCTTCCACACCTCACCTGGATTGAAGGACATATGGACTAGCAGAAATAGATGCAGTATACACAGGGTATGCAACTGATTCGATATTAGAAATGAAATAAGAATAGGACTCATGCACAGATCCCTAACCCAGAATCTATCTCTGAATCATAACCATTTGCAAATGAAAATTTAGTTTTTCAAGGAATTGTCACTAGGATAAGAACTACTCCCAAAAGTATGCTGCAAGCCAAACCTCAAAAACTTCAACAGCGAGCTTGGCAGTGGAGGTGCACACCTTTAATCCCAGCACTAAGGAGGCAGAGGCAGGTAGATCTCTGTGAGTTTGAGACCAGCCTGGTCTACAAGAGCTAGTTCCAGGACAGGCTCCAAAGCTACAGAGAAACCCTGTCTTGAAAAAATACCCCCCCCCAAAATTTAACAGCATCTTGGAGATTGCTTGTCTCATAATGTCATGTCAAAACTTTACATCCTCTCTTTCTTTTATATCTTATCTTATTGATACATTTTCCAGTTTGAGTGTTTTGGGGGATTCTGTTTCTTTTGGCTTTTCTTGGGCTATTTGTCTTCTAATTGTTTTTTTCTATTATTCTGTGGTAGTTTTGTTTTTTCTTACTACATCATAGTATATATTTTTATTATTATTATCACTTAGAAATCAGTTTTTTTTTCTGGTGAGAGAAAGAAAGGGATTGGATCTGGATGGGAAAATGATGGGGAAGAATTGGTCATAGTAGAGTTGAAACAAATACAACTAGGAAATTATTTAAGGCAAACTGTTTTCAGTAGAAAGATAAGTTTAAAAAACATATAAATAGACCGCTGTTTTTTAAATATTCATATGAAAACTACTGTGTTCATTGGGAAAATGTGTGGAGATCCCATGCTAGGTAGTTTCCAATGCAAAATATCAAATATAAATAATTAGAGAGAAGTTCATTTTCTACAAAAGATGTGATAGTTTATGTTCATCACTTGGCAATGCTTCAAAATAATTTATTACTGATAATATGAATTCAACATATCCTGACTACAGAATCAAACACTGTATATGAATCCAGGAACAAAGCAACCATACTAATGATCTCTGAAGTGGTAGACAGTGTTATAGAGAACCTAACACAGGTGAATGAAGTCAACATCAATACATTAAGGAAAACTGATGACAGTTTTTCACACAAGAGTCACATCATTATTGTTGGGATAGTGATTGCCCAAGGAATACAGCATGGAAACTCTAGTGTGAATACAACAGCATCAATTTTATGCCATGCATAAGCTACATATGTCTGCCACATTCCAGATTCTCAAGTGAATTCCATATATATGTAGTTTTGTTTTCCACAAGACTATGCCATTCCTAAGTCTACTTTTTCATAACTGAAAAAGTTATGCTAGGCAACACATTTCATGTGAACGAGCATGCATTTTTCACAAACCAGTAAACAAAGGGAACCTGGGCAGAAGTCATGCCATATATGCTGTGAGTTGGTTCCTGGAGGTATGGGGCATCATGAAACTACAATATTTCTCTGTCACAATGGAATCCTCCAAATGGGCAGAGAAGAACAAAACAAAACAGTGGGAATTTGATCCCGTGTAAATAGTACACATTTAAAGACTCAATCATAACTGTCATAATTTAGCACAGACTCACAAATATCAATAGAAATAAACTCCTTAGGCAAGACTATGAGAAGCAGAGAAAATGGGCAACATAAATATATCAACTTTGTAGAAGAAATTGAGCATAGCTGCTGTGCAGAGACATACTTACTCTAGAACCATCCATCTCTTCCGAGCTTCTGTCTTATAGTTCCTGGATTCTCTCGAGAGGATATGCTTTTTAAAAAGTATCAGTGAATACCATTCACCTGATACACACACAGTCACCATCTGCAGATCCTCAGAAATCAGGGAGTCTTTACTCCTGGCTTAGTTAAACAGGTACTCATGAAAACAAGAGAGATTAAAATGCTAAGTTTCTCCCTTGCTGAGTTCAAGTTGTCTGCTCAGCAGTCAAGTTATCCTGTGAGATCGTGGGCTGCAATGGCCTGTTGTACTCAATCAAAAAAAAAGCAGAAGTGGGGAAAAGAAAGCTTTATTCAAATAGATATCAAAATCATATGAAGCTTATCATAACCTCTACCTTGGTTTTACTGGCAAGGTTCACAATGATGTCGGGGCTGCTAAATAGATTAACAAATCGAAGCTGTGGAATGAAGCACAAATAAAAGCAATTTTATTTTAACATGCAGTTATTCATGACTTTGAAATTTTGAGAGAACTGCAAGTATTTTTGGCTTCTTTTAATGGAAGCAGTAGAGTTCAAAATGCTTCAACACTAGACATTGTTCATTAAGCATGTCACATTTTACCACAGTATGTTATGATACGTGCTTATGGACTCATATATTCTGATATGAAAAGCAAATACTGCTCTTTTCATAATTCCCATGATGACCCACTGTTAGGAACCCTCTTTTTACTAAACATGAGTTACAAATAGCTATGCATGAAGGATGTGGGGATAGGTAAAGAAGGATGCCTAGTAAGTAAGAATGGAACCTTTGAAGTTCGGGTTTCACACTCCTTACTCATTTCACTGTCACAAGGAGACAGTAGACTCCATTAGAACCTAATGTAGCACAGAGAGACCGTGTACACGCACAACACAACCACAGAATATGGTTTGAAAAACATTCTGTTCCTTGTGCCTGATTTCTGCTGCTCCTCTTAGTACAGAAAGTTTTTATTTGTTTGTCTCTCCTCCCTGACCATTTAAAATTGATTTTCACTGATGCTGAACTATTTTGCCAAATACATTTGATCTTTCTGATAATTTGACAGTTTCTACTGTTTGGATAATTTAGTTATGTCTCCCAATGTAAATAGGTGTAATGGATTTATTCACCAAGTGTTGTCCCCAAGATTTTACTATCAACTGCTTCTTCGCTTACTCAGAAGCTGCTGAATGTGTATAAACACGTATTTCTAGATGTTTGACACAGTAAATAGCTCTCTTCACTGATTTTTATTTCAAGCCAATCTAATGTTTACTATTAAAAGCAGTGAATGACATTCACCCTTGAGAGGTTATTCATTTGAAAAAATTCTGTAAGCATGCTAAAATTTAAAAAATACTTAAATTATATTTATGAAAATACAGTAAAAATCCTAAATGATACTTTAAACAACAGTTCCTTCCATATTATGTGTTGTCAAGAGAGTTATTTGAAATATAATAATCATGGATTTGTGGAAAAAATTATTGTTTAATAAACACTATTAGGGAACAAAATTTTAAGTTCATGGGCAGAGTGATTCCCACTGGATGTCTCTGAAGTAACTCATCAAAAAAGATTTAAAGGAAGATTTCTGAAATAGCTAAAACATAAATATGATACTCATTTGAAGAAGGTACCATCTCATACACCAATAGACAGAAAAGAGCTAAGGGTAATTCCCTCTAATTTTAAAAGCAATGTAGTTCACATGTGGGGGGATATGGAGACACATTTGTGAGCCCTTGTCTGGTGGGTTGCATAGAGCATCTAGACAACATGACCCCAGCCTTACACATGTCCCAAACTTCCCCATTCCCAGGACCCTTCCCATTCTCCTCATTGAGCTTAAGTGAAAAAAAAATAGAATTTGATAAATAGAACAAATGTTTCTTTATAATAAATGAAGTGGCTTCTCTATAATAATAATTTGGAAAAATAATAATGAAGGCCTCTGCAGGATTTACAGTTGAACAGAAGCACTAATATGCTTTCTACACATGTAACATCATAAGTCAAATATAATGCCTAGAAATTCAGTCTTAGACATGTGCCTAACTCTAGTACACCAAAGGACTGTGATTCCCGTAATTGAAAGATAGTAGTCTTGTGAATTTACAAATTGCATGCAATTCTAATGGAAATTTCTATATCTCTGGACAGCTGGATTCCATGGCTATTCTACCTCAAATATTCTTATTTAAAACATTTCAACATTATGTGTAAACTTAAATGTTAAGTCTAAGTTATATTTATGAATGTTTATCCTATTGAATCCACAGGCCATGCTCTCCATAGCTGTCCATGTAGCTGTTTCTTTGAGGCCTCTGTGTGCCTAAATTTTACATTATAGACTGTAAATGTCCTTCTCCATCCACTGAATCTTGGCTGACTATTGTTGTCTGCTGCTGTCTCTATTCCAGGAAGGAGCAGTGGGTAGATTGTATTGAATCCCTGAAGTAAGGGAGACTTGAACTCTTGCACTCCTTCAAAGCCCTAACCACGTCCTGTTTTACCATGTTCTCTTTCTACAGAGAACAGGTTCATTTAATGATGTTAGGATACAGAAAATAGCATTTTACCTATTTTATTGTACTAAAAAAAAACTGGTAAAGATCGTCAAATACCATATTTCATGTGAATGTTAGACCATGCTAGAAAGTGTCTTAAAGCAGAGTCTGCATGTAGGGAGGACATTGTCACAGTGCATAATCTGAAGTATGATTTAGACTTTGTTTGACTGCCACCTAGTGTCCCATCAGCAGGATGTTTTATTTGTTTCTCTTACCTCTTTAATATTTTAACAGTGATTTGCTCCTACCCTGAGCTTTTTCTTACATTGGATTTTTTTCCATTTCTGTCCCTATGGTCATCTAATTTCCTTGAAACTTTCTATGTAGTAGCTTTCTGTGAACTTTTCTCTCAATCATTTCCACAAACATTACTATTGCCTGTTTAAACACATAAAGTTTAAAACAAGGTGATATTTATATGAAATCACAAATAATTTTAGGAAAATTGAATCTATATGGTATATAATCATGTTACATAGCATGAATATTACAAGAAACTAAAATATGCATCAAAATCTGAAAGAGTTTGAGGTTGGCCTGTTCTTTAATATATTATCTTGACATACAGTCAAGAAATCTTATTGCTTATTTCAATCCTACTAGAAATATTTATTTATTCATAAAAGCTGATGTTTAAATAATTATGGCCATAACAATAATGCATAAATGATTCAGTTAACAACAAATGTATAATGACTATAAATTTCAAATCTAGATACAATGTTTGTAATTTATAACACCTGTAAAGCAAAGTATTGAAAATTACTTGAAGCATGTAAGCCTGTGTAATAAGTTGGTCAATATATGAAAATTGGTTATAGAGAGAAGTAATTTGAGTTATACTAAGGTATTTTGTAAAATGTACTCATCACATTACTGCCTTCTAAGGTTTGAATATGTGTTAAAGGACTTGTCACATTCCTGACATCTGTAAGGTTCTCACCACTATGAATTCTGTGATGAGTTTGAAGAGTTTAGACCTTGGTAAAGGACTTGCCAAATTCTTGACATTTGTAAGGTTTCTCATCAGTCTGAATTCTATGGTGATCTTGAAGATTTCATGATGGGTAAAGAAGTTACCACATTCTTGGTATCTGTAAGGTTTCTCAAAGGTATGAATTCTGTGTGAGATTGAAGAGTTGAGACGTTGGTAAAAGACTTGCCACATGTTTGATATCTGCAAAGTTTCTTACCAGTATGAATTCTTTGAAGAGTTAAGATATTGGCAAAGGACTTGTCACCAATATGGATTCTGTGATGTCTAATGATTTGAGACCAGGTAAAGTTCTTGCCACATTCTTTTTTTTTTCTTTTCTTTTTTTTTATTGCGAAAAGAAGAAAACAAAACATAAACAAAAAACAAGTTTCCACCTCCTCCCAGCCTCCCATTTCCCTTCCCCTCCTCCCACCCTTCTCCCCCTCCTCCCACCCTTCTCCCCCTCCTCCCACCCTTCTCCCCCTCCCCCCACTCCTCTCCCCCTCCCTCTCCAGTCCACAGAGCAGTCCGGGTTCCCTGCCCTGTGTTAAGTCCTAGGTCCTCCCCCCTCCGTCCATATCTAGGAAGGTGAACATCCAAACTGGCTAGGCTCCAACAAAGCCAGCACATTTAGTAGGATCAAAACCCCCTGCCATTGTCCTTGGCTTCTCATCAGCCCCCATTGTTCGCCATGTTCAGAGAGTCCGGTTTTATCCCATGCATTTTCGGTCACAGTCCAGCTGGCCTTGGTGAGCTCCCCGTAGATCAGCTCCACTGTCTCAGTGGGTGGATGCACGCCTCGTGGTCCCGAATTCTTTGCTCATGTTCTCCCTCCTTCTGCTCCTCCTTGGGACCTTGGGAGCTCAGTCCAGTGCTCCTGTGTGGGTCTCTGTCTCTATCTCTATCCATCACCAGATGAAGATTCTATGATGATATGCAAGATATTCGTCAGTATTTCTCTAGGATAGGGTCATTTCAGGTTCCCAATCCTCAGCTGCCCAAGGAACTAACTGGGAACCTCATCTTGGGCACTAGGGAGCCCCTCTAGGGTCACGTCTCTTGCCCACCCTAAAGTGGCTCCCTTAACTAAGAATTGTGGTTCCGTGCTCCCCTATTCATCTTTCCTTTATCCCAATTCTCCTGTTTCCCCAGGTCCCCCCTCCTTCCCTTATACCTTTTCTCTCCCCATCTCCCCTTACCCCCATCCCACCCCAACCCCAAGATCCCATTTTCTCCCCGGAAATTTGGTCTACTTCCCTTAGCCAAGAGGACAACTATATGTTTTTCCTTGGGTTCACCTTCTTACTTAGCTTCTATAGGTTCACCTATTGTAGAATCCGTGGTCCTTATTTATGGCTAGAAACCAATTATGAGTGAGTACATCCCATATTCATCTTTTTGGGTCTGGGACACCTCACTCAGGATAGTGTTTTCTATTTCCATCCATTTGCATGCAAAATTCGAGAAGTCATTGTTTTTTACTGCAGCGTAGTACTCTAGCGTGTATATATTCCATACTTTCTTCATCCATTCTTCCATTGAAGGGCATCTAGGTTGTTTCCAGGTTCTGGCTATTACAAATAATACTGCTATGAACATAGTTGAGCAAATGCTTTTGTCATTGATAGAGCATCTCTTGGGTATATTCCCAAGAGTGGTATTGCTGGGTCCAGGGGTAAGTTGATCCCGAATTTCCTGAGAAACCGAAACACTGACTTCCACAGTGGTTGCACAAGATTGCATTCCCACCAGCAATGGATGAGGGTACCTGTTCCTCCACAGCCTCTCCAGCAAAGGTTATCATTGGTGTTTTTGACTTTAGCCATTCTCACAGGTGTAAGATGATATCTCAAAGTTGTTTTGATTTGCATTTCCCTGA